TGGAGTTGATCCAATCGTTTCTAACAAATCGTGCAATGAACGTCATGTTGAACGGTCATGCTTTCATACTAACGCGGGTATCACCACTCTAGAGATTCTAACCTTGGACCTACGCTATTTCTGATCATCATCAAGGATTTCCCTGATGTCATCAATTCCCAACTAAGTATTTATGCAGATGACAAACTCATTTATTCCTGTCTTAGTACAAATCCGACAAACCCAGGAAAGTAAACTTGCCAACAGCTCTCAAAAAGGACTTGCAATCAATGGTTAACTAGACAAAAATGGCTTCTATATTTTAAACACCTCCGAAGCAAAAAAGGTTTAATTTAATCAGAACAGAAAACCTCAACATGGCTGATGCTAAACTCCAGACAGTAACACTCTATCCCTTCTTGGGTTTATGTTTCCTAATGATATGAAGTGGGGTGACTATATCGGGACAGTTGCTACGCCTACTTCAAAGAAAGGTCATTTATTGTTTCTTGCCAAAAATGTTTCTTGTCTTAATCAACATTTATGAATCTACTATTTGTTCATGCATTGAATATCGCTGCCGTATCTGGTCTGGTGTTCCTGCTGTACATATCTCGAGATTCTTGACAAAATCCAAAGATTCTGAGATATAATCGATCCTGACTTTGCATCTCGACTTCAGTCACTTTCTCACCGACGTGACCTGGCTTCCCTCTCTCTTTTCTACAAATATTTATAAATCTACCATTTGTCCGTGCATTGAATATCGCTGCCGAATCAAGTCTGGTGTTTCTGCTGTACATCTCGAGATTCTTGACAAAATCCAAAGAAGTTTCTGAAATATAATCGATCCTGACTTGGCATCTCAACTTCAGCCAATTTCTCACCGACGTGACTTGGCTTCCCTCTCTCTTTTCTATAAATATTTATAAATCTACCATTTGTCCATGCATTGAATGTCGCTGTCGTATCTGGTCTGATGTTCCTGCTGTACATATCTCGAGATTCTTGACAAAATCCAAAGAAGATTCTGAAATATAATCGATCCTGACTTTGCATCTCGACTTCAGTCACTTTCTCACTGACGTGACGTGGCTTCCCTCTCTCTTTTCTACAAATATTTATAAATCTACCATTTGTCCGTGCATTGAATATCGCTGCCGTATCTGGTCTGGTGTTCCTGCTGTACATCTCGAGATTCTTGACAAAATCCAAAGAAGATTCTGAAATATAATCGATTTCTGAGTTGGCATCTCGACTTCAGCCAATTTCTCACCGACGTGACTTGGCTTCCTTCTCTCTTTTCTATAAATATTTAGACTATTACTACTTGATGTCAAATGAAAGAAATACTAGACACAAATGAATAATAATTGCCAATGATTCATCAAAGAAATTCAGATAACTTAAGACTTACTAATTTGGATAAGAGAAAATGCTCCAGCATTCATTATCTTTAAAATGACATTTATCCATCCCTTAATTTTCTTGTCACTTTGCTTTGTTTTATGGCATATCAACACCTCAATGGGTTATATGGATAACGTGCTGCTTCGACTTTTTCACTTCATTTATTTAGTTTTCTTTCTCTTTTTTCATCATTCTTACGTTTGTCTTCGTCTTTTGTCTCCTCTTTCTTTCTCATTTCCTTTTATCCTGTAGATAAATCTTATTTACACCACACCGATAATTTTCTTATAAGCAAATACCTATTTCGAATGTATTCTCTTCCGGTTTGGTTTGGTTTGGTTTACGACCTATCAACCTCAAATGGTTAATAAATGCCGACAAGATTTTTATTGTTGGTAATATTTTTCTCAAAACTATATTACGGGTAATATGTTTTTCTTCACATATATGTATTGCTGGTAATATTCTTTCCTCATAAATGTATTGCTGATAATAGTTTTTCCTCAGAAAATTTATTACTGATAATATTTTTGTTAAAAAATATACCGCTAGTAATAATGTTTTGCTGTTATTAAAATCTATTTTGACACTTTCATAGTGATTTGACCCAATTTGTCTATAGATGGGACCCTAACAGAGGCTACCATCCAGGGTCAGGGTGGGCCTGAGAACACCAGCATTTAAAAGGTGTGTCCATGCTCCTCAAAATCTCTTGTATATGCTTGGGTTTGATTTGGTTTGATTTGCTTTGGTTTGGTTTGTCACAAGGTATATCAACACCTCAGTGGTTTAATTAATGGCGACAAGATTTTCAGATTAGGTTCATATGAATAATGTGCTGCTTCGACTTTTTCCCTTTATTTATTTACTTTTCTTTCTACTTTTTTCGTCATTCTAACGTTTGTTTTCGTGTTGTGTCTACTCTTTTTTCTCTTTTCCTCAAATACTGTAGATAAATCCTATTTATCCCACACCGATAATTTTATTAAAAGCAAAAACCTATTTCGAATGTATTCTCTTCCGGTTTGGTTTGATTTGGTTTATTTTGTTTTACGGCATATCAAACTCAATGGGTTATTTAATGCCGACAAGATTTTTATTGCTGGTAATATTTTTTTCAAAAAGTATTTCTGGTAAAAATTTTTTCAAAAAATGCATTGCTGGTAATATATATTTTTTTAAAATGTAATTGCTTGTAATAATGTATTGCTGGTAATAATTATTCTCCAAAAATTTATTACTTGTAATAATTTTTTACAAAAATCTATTGCTGGTATGAAAAACTATTTCTAAATTTTCATAGTGTTTTGACCCCAGTTTCGGGGTTCACTATTTTCCCATAGCTGGGACACTAAAAGGTGCTAACACCCCGGATTAAGGTAGACCTGGGAACAACAGCAAATGAAGAGGTGGTTCAAAACATCCTGATTAGAAGGCTGCCGGATGTAGTTTATCGTCTTACCCACGACGCCCGACTTTCGTGTCAAACATTTTTTGTTACTACATTAAAAAATGGATTTTATAAGAAATAAAAATTCTCTGTACTTGGTTACATTCAAAAGAAAATGATCGTTACCAATTGGTGAAACGTAGAGAAATTTTTACCCTGTAATTCTAGAATAAATATGATTTGTTTTGACAGAAAATACCGTCGACAATGCAGGGAAGTCAATGTTTCCATAACATGTGATCTTCTATTGAACCCGACACTAAAAACAGTCAGTGATCTGGAATGGTAAATGTTCTTCCACCTGCAGCAAATTCTTGCAGACGGTTAATATTCGGAGTATCCCTTATTTTGCACCATTCCAAAACGCCGTTTCAAGGAGCAATAGCTTCAATGTAACGGAAGATTCGTTGAAGAAAGGAAACGTTCTTTTTTCATGAAATACAAAATTCAGACTAAAGTTAGTATAACGCCATGATAAGTGAGAATTCAACACTCATGATTGAACGATGTTGCTCTCGATTTATGTGGATAAAGGAAACAAAAGAAAGAATCGTTAACGAAGAAGAAATTACAAAGAAAAAAAGGATCGGTAAAGATGAAGGAAAGTGTTACATAGAAAGAAAGAAAGAAAAATCGGTGCTTTTCGAGGGAGAAAGATGTTGAAAGAGAAAGAGAGGAAAAAGTTTCAAGAGAAATTAGAGAAATAATGTAATACAAATAAATCACATAAATAGATTAGAAAGAAAGAAAGAAAGAAAGAAAGAAAGAAAGAAAGAAAGAAAGAAAAAGTAAAGATGAAGAAAAGTGATGGATAGAAAGAAAGAATGAAGGAACCAGTGAAGAGAAAGAAAGAAAGAGAGAAAGAAAGAAAGAAAGGAGTAAAAAAAAAGAAAGATCTAATAATAATTAACGTTACAAGAAAACCAAATCAAGAGAATTAACGTTGAAAGAAAGAAAGAAAGAAAGAAAGAAAGAAAGAAAGAAGGAAAGAAAGAAAGGGTAAAGATGAAGAAAATTGTTGGATAGAAAGAAAGAATGAATGATTCAGTGAAAAGAAAGAAAGAAAGAAAGAAAGAAAAAGAATTAATAAAGATGAAAATTTTTATAAAGATAGAAAATAATTAATCATGAAGAAGTTTTTTTTACAAAGAAAAAAGAAAGAAAGACGAGGAGACTTTTTACAAAGAAAGTGAGAAAGAAAAATGAAAAAGAAAGAACGAAAGAAAGAAAGAAAGAAAGAAATATTAGGTAAACATGAAGAAATGTTTTTGGAAAGAAAGAAAGAAAGAAAGAATCGGTAAAAATTAAGAAAACTGTTACACACAAAGATAGGAAAAAGAAAGAAAAAGTAAAGTAAAATTGTTACAAAGAAAGAAAGAAAGAAAGAAGGAAGGAATCAGTAAAAATGAATTAAACTGTTACAAAGACAGAAAGAAAATTTGTAAAGAAAAAGTTGGTACGAAGAAAAATAAAAAAGTTATGTCAAAGAAAAGAAAAAAAAACGGTAAAAGTAATCTGAATTGTAAAAGTCGTTTTGACAGAAAGAAAGCCTAGAAAAACTAAAAATACAAAAAGAATATTCTGCAAATTACTTAGCGATTGGTTGTAAACTTCCTCTTCACAATTGTCTCAGACTTTTTCAGACATGGCAGCCAAGGTAGGAGATTGCCTTTCGTATTCCATTCATTTTATTTGTTACTTCTATAGCGTCGTTCTGTCGCCAGATGACGAGAGTGATACGACAATGACGTGGACCTTGGAGTGGTTCTTTTTCTAGCCCGAGGCCTTCAAATCGCATATCATTCGTGCCATTGTTGAAGACGCCAGTAATTTTGTACGCGTCAAAGCACGGACAATTTCGCCAGTTTGATTCTGCCCGAGGGTAAGACGACTAGGTCTCAGCTGTTGGATAGATGCCACGCGGCTGACTGACCATCCAGTTGCTGGTCAATTAAGACGAATAAGGCGTATTAGCCAACCTGCTGTGCCATGAGTGAGAGTAACTTGTAATTTCTTCTTCTTCTCATTGTTCTACCATCTCCATTTTTTTCATTTTCATTTCTTCTTTATCCATTTTTCTTCTTTTTCCATTACTTCTTCTTTTTATTTTTCTATTTTTCTATTGAATCCTACGTTTATTCTTCTTCCTTCTCCATTCCGCATGCCGCCTTGTCTTTCTGTTGCCATATTTTTCTCATTCATTTTTCATCTCATTCATTCTTCATCTCATTCCATTTTTCATTTCATTCATTCTTCATTTCAAATCATTCTACATTTCATTCATTTTCATCTCATTCATTCTTCATTTCATTCATTTTTCATTTCATTCATTCTTCATTTCATTCATTTTTCATTTCATTCATTCTTTACCACATTCATTCTTCATCTCATTCATTTTTCATCTCATTCATTCTTCATTTCATTCCATTTTTCATCTCATTCATTCTTTATTTCATTCATTTTTCATTTCATTCATTCTTCATTTCATTCATTTTTCATCTCATTCATTCTTCATTTCATTCATTCTTCATTTCATTCATTTTTTATTTCATTCATTCTTCACCGCATTCATTCTTCATTTCATTCATTCTTCATCTCAACTCATTTTTCATTTCATTCATTTTTCATCTCATTCATTTTTTATTTCATTCATTCTTTATTTCATTCATTCTTCATCTCATTCATTCTTCATTTCATTCATTTTTCATTTCATTCATTCTTCATTTCAAATCATTCTTCATTTCATTCATTTTTCATCTCATTCATTCTTCATCTCATTCATTTTTTATCTCATTCATTCTTCATTTCATTCATTCTTCATCTCAAATCACTTTTTATTTCACTCATTTTTCATCTCATTCATTCTTCATCTCATTCATTTTTCATTTCATTCCATTTTTCATTTCATTCATTCTTCATCTCATTCAGTCTTCGTTTCATTCATTCTTCATCTCTTATGCATTCTGTTTTTCTGCTGCTTTCATTCATTTTCCACGTTTTTTATCATTTTTTCTTTAAATAATTATTCCTCATTTTTTCTTTATTACTATAGCTTCTCTTTTCTTTCTTTTTCTTCTCATTCTCCTACCATAATTCAACTTCATGTTATCTTCTTTTTCCAATTCATTCATTCATTCATCCTTCTTCTTCATCTTTCTTTTTCTTCTCATTGTTCTGCCCATCTCTTTCTTTCCTTTTCTTTCCTTTAACTTTCCAGCTTCCCTTCATTCATCCTCTTCTTCTTTATTCCTTCATTTTTTTATCTTCATCTTCCTTTCTTTCTTTCCTTCTTTCTTTTTTCTTTCTTTCTTTCTTATGCTTCTCATCACGATTTCTATTTTTTCATTTATCTTTTCTTCTTCCACTCCTTTTTCTTCTTCTTCATCATCATCATTCTTTTTTTTTTCTTTTCTCATTGTTCCACTTATCTAGATTTCTATTGTTTTACATATGTTTTCTTCTTACACTTCTTCTTCTTCTTCTTCTTCTTCCTTTCTTTCTTTCTTTCTTTCTTATTGTTTTACTCATCTCATTTTTTGTTATTGTCATTTATTTTTTCTCGAACTTTTTCATCTTTTTCTTCTTCTTCTTCTTCTTCTTCTTCCCATTTTTCTTCTTCTTCCTTCTTCTTTTTCTTCTACTTCTTTATTCATTTATCTTCATCTTTCTTTCTTTTCTTATTGTTCCACTCATCTCAATTTCTGTTATTTTCATTTATTTCTTCTCGTACACTTTCTTCTTCTTCATCCTCCTCTTCATACTCCTCTTCTTCTTCTTCTTTAACTATCATTATTATTAATAGTAGCAGAAGTGGTATTATTATAATTTTTATCTTGTTAACGTTAATATTAACATCAACTTTATCCCGATAAATATTATGAATAGCTTTTTCTTTTTTAATAATTTGGAGGCCATTATTATTTCTATTCTGCTTATTCCCAAAGAGTAATTACAACAAACAAAGCAATCGCCATATTTTTCTTCACTCAACGAATTCCTGCCGTCATTACGAGATAGCAATAAGGGAATTACTCTCATCAACTTCACACTGTTTATAGATATTAATCCCAGAATTGGGGGACCTCATATTATTTCAATACTAACTTTAATTAAAATCTATCTTTTAAATGCAGAAATCTGCCATTTATCGAATAGAGTTTTACTCATATATACAAAGTGTATCAAAAATACTTTTACAAACTTTTGGGTCGAGTTCCTCACACCAAAACAAGGACAAAAGTTCATATAAAATATATTTCCGCAAAACCTTCGTTTTTGAGTTATTAAGTTTAAAGAAAGTTTACGGTAGATGGCGCTGTGTAGGTATATAGACGACATTACTTTTGACAATCGTGTTACATTTGTGACTAATCTGTCTTCAACGTTTAACATGTGTAGCAGTGAGTCAACTAAAAAGTGTTCTATCTAAGAACGGTAAGATATCGTCAGCAGGTAGATATGATTTTTATATATGGCAGCGCGAATGGTAATGGACGCGAGGCTGCACGGTTGCATTAGATTGCGTCTCCAAAGCGAAGACATCCGGGTCATCCAACCTTTGCTATTGTTTATCGTCGCGTTGCTGAGACGGCATCCGTGACGCCAAATTTGAAAAATAGGGAAAATATTTTTCAAATTGATTAATAAACACTTCCCCGAAAATTCCGAGTTACACAAAATCTTTAATAAAAAAAAAATACAGTTAAATTAAGCTACAGCTGTACTAGATATTTCGAAACTATAATAAAAAGAAAAACGCCAGTCATTTCACAGCTACATGCAGCAAGATATCGTTAAAAGTGAAACCTGTAACATGTCGGGAGTTTGCAAAACGGAAAGAGTAATTTACAAAGACGAAGATACAAATAACAAGCGTAAAATATACATGGGGTGGGCTGAAGGCAGCTTCCAAAAGAGATGGTATAATCACAAGGCATCAGTCAAGTTAGAAAGCTTTAGGAATTCTGCCGGACTAGGCAGCCATGTGTGGGAATCAAAAGAAATAAATATGCGATTGTAAGCTGGGAAATATTTTTTTTTTAAGTCAAAACTTACAGAAATCGTAGCGATATCTGCAAACTCTGCCACAGAGGAAAACTTAACGATAATAACATATCCAAACACAAAAAGATCTATTGAATGAAAGGTCAGAAATAATGACACTATGCATACACTCTAAAAAGTACTTTTTGTGTTCGTAGGAACCAGGATGAAAGTATGTACATTTTATTTACTTCCCTTCCAATACAATTTTAATACTCTTGCTTCTCTACTCCACTTCTGTTACATTTCACTTCATTTATATATAAACTAGTATACCCGTGCCGTCAAAAATGACAGCAACAAGGAATGTATTATAAGTAATATGTATTATATTGTAATTAATTTTCGTTTAATCCAAGTACAATTTTGTAATTGGAAAATAGTTTGTTGTCAACATTAATAATTGAACAGTGTGCAATTTATAAACACCTAAGGAAAGATATTCATATATTATCCTCATAAATGTTACATATTTACAACCGAAATTATATTTACTGCAAAAGTTCGCAAAGTACAATATTTTTTGAGCAAACATTGGAAGGTCTGAGTAATCCTAGACAGTCCATAGATTCAATCTGTAATTTCAGAATCTGCTTATTGTTCAAAAAGAAATTTATCATCGGATATTTTTTTTTAATTTATTATTTTTTTTTTCTTGAGCTATTACCAAATTCCACAAGATATGCTCTGAATCGTAGCATAAAAACTGCATTAAAACTATCTAATTATTTAATTGTATAAGTTTTTAATTGCTATCATAAATAATATAAATGAAGGATGTAGTGTGAATAAAAAAAGAAAAACAAACAAACAAAAAACTCTTAATTATTACAAGAATTGTTCCCTTCGGCTCTTTTTTTGTTTAATTATAATTTTTAAAGTTTAAAATGAATTTCTAAAAATGATCAAAGCGTTCATGAAGATATATATGGCGTATATATGAACCCTATTCAATATATATATATATATATATATATATATATATATGTATTATATATATGAACCCTATCCAACAGTGATATCAGTACGCGTCAACGGGACCAAGTTGCACTGCACCGGGTGGGTCATCATTATTTGACACACTGCCCATCAATGTTTATACACAAAAAAAATTAAATATATATGTGATATATTTTTAAGATATTTTAGCAATTAACTGACGTTATTCACATTTTTCGCTGTCTTTATAGTCATTTTGATTATATATATATATATATATATATATATATATATATATATATATATATATATATATAGATATATATATATATATATGTGGACGATTTATATAATTTCTTATATTTATAAGATTATTATTATTATATATATATATATATATATATATATATATATATATATATATATGACTAAACCCCAACATTGTTTATAGCTTACCCTGAAGATCCGTTTAGTGAAACCTAGGTAGGTTGTTCCTGGATTTATTTCATATATATATATATAAAAATATTATATATATATATATATATATATATATATATATATATATATATATATATATATATATATATATATATATATATATATATATATATTGTGTATATTTAGGCAGGATCTTTTCATTCATGCACGTTTCATTAAATAATATAGACAAGTGTTGTCTATTTATTTCATGTAAATTTTTTTCGTAACGTCTAATAAGTTTAAAAACATTAACGGCTTCCCATACTAATACATCTCCAATTCACTCTCGTTTGGTCATGGGTGACGTCATGAGATGCGGTGCGATTTTCGCTTCTAGCGTCTTATATGCACGTGTTTATCGTTGCTTAGAAATCATCTATGTAAACATTGACAGACTATCATCACTGTCTTCTCTCTATATTGCTTAATATGCTGTAACTGACATCTTTGAAAATGGCTTATGTAATCCGAAAGCTTAGATTATATTAAAAAGAATATGGATCAATATTGTGAATTTCTTTCTTCGTTCAACGATAATGGTATTATACTTATCAGACGTTACGAAAATATTTACATAAAATAAATAGACAACACTTGTCTATATTATTTAATGAAACGCATATATATATATATATATATATATATATATATATATATATATATAAAGAGGGAAGTGAGAATTAAATAAAAGAATGATTGTGATAAAAAAGAACAAGGAAACAATAAGATTCAGTCGTGAAGTAAGAAAGTGAGAAAGAAAGAAAAAGAAAGAGAGAATGAAACAAACAAACAAACAGAAAAGAAAGATGAAAAAAGTTATATTTGAAAGCGAGAATGAGAGAAAGATGAGGAAAGTGAAATATAAAGAAAATATAAAATTGTGATGAAAAACAACGATATATTTAGGTTAAATTGTAAAATAGATAAATAAATAAAGAAAGAAAGAAAGAAAGCGCATGTAAGAAAAAGAGATAGAATGATCAACCAATGGAAGCTAAAAGAAAAAAAGAAAGAAAGAAAGAAAGAAAGAAAGAAAGATAGAATGATCAACCAATGGAAGTTAAAAGAAAGAAAGAAAGAAAATGCACTGCTATTCTAGAGAGGGATAAAAAATGCAAAAATAAAAGAGTCAAGTGTATTTAAATAAAATAATTCATCATAAAAAGTGACAAGAGAAAGAGAAAGCGCTGAAGAAAGCAAAAAAACAAAAAAACAAAGAAGCAAACAAACCAATCGCTCGTTTCAAACTCCTCCAGGATTTTTGGAACGGATGTAGAGTTTCATCACCTGTACTTGTTTAGGATTGCGTTTCCCGTTCCTTCTAATGTTTTTTCATTCACTTTCATTCCCAGTACCCTCTTGCGTCTTAATGTCTTCATTGCGTTGTTCGTGGGTTAATCGATTAAAAAACAAACAAGTTCCTGTGGAGTCAATAATTATAAGATAAATGCATGACAATCAAACTGCTTCTCTTTCTTTTTATTTTATTCACCCATGAACCAATCATGTTTAAAGCAGTTTTACCAGTAAAGAAATTCAAATGGACTCCACATCAATCTAAAGAGGTGCCTAGTGTGCGGACGCAGACCTTGCGAAATACAAGAGAAATCTAAAACTCATCCCGACAAAGTACCCGACAAAACTAAACATCTTACCGACAAAGTACCCGACAAATGTAAACCTCGTACCCGAGAAAGTACCCCCAAAAATCTAAACCTCTTGCCGTCAAAGTAACCGACAAACGTAGACCTCGTACCCAATAAATTACCCGAAAAATCTAAACCTCGTACTCGATAAATTACCCGACAAAGCTAAACCTCGTACCCGACAAAGTATCCAAAAAATCTAAACCTCTTGCCGTCAAAGTAACCGACAAACCTAAACCTCGTACCCGATAAATTACCCCACAAATCTAAACCTCTTACCGACAAAGTACCCGACAAATTAGCTGACAAATCTAAACCTCGTACCCGATAAATTACCCGACAAATCTAAACCTCATACCCGACAAATTAGCCGAAAAATGTAAACTTCTTACCGACAAAGTAACTGACAAATCTAAACCTTGTACCCGATAAATTACCCGACAAATCTAAACCTCGTACCCGACAAATTAGCCGAAAAATGTCAACCTCTTACCGACAAAGTAGCTGACAAATCTAAACCTCCTACTCGACTATGTACCCTAGATTCAAAGAGGCGCTTTTAATGCATGTTCAATTACTGTCGTTCTGTATTCGACGAAACTAATTTTTTTCACCTTTCGTAACACGATTGTAAACAAGATAGTTTCCCAGACCTCACAATAGGTAGTTCGATCCTTACGTAAATGCCCTAAAATTTAGCCTTGGACCAGAATTTGCTATACTTAAATATCTCCTCAGCAATTCAAGGTGTGAAAGCTTTTTTTTGTCCTCCAATATCTTCTTTAATCCATGTTTTCCAACCGGTATTTGCTTAGTAAGTATTTGCGCATGCGTGTTTCATTTCATCTGTGCTTTGCGACTCTTCGCACTGAACCCTCTTCCATTTCGATCTGTTCGTTCTTATTATAAAGTAAACAAAGACGTGTGGACATTGGCAATGAAACACTTACTGAAGCTCCACTAAACAAGAACGAGGAGAGCCCTTTTAACGGCTCATCTGTCACAGGCAAATATCTGTTTCTCCCTCAACGTTTTAGCATATACACGGTTCTAGAATCCATTTTACCCAGAAAAAAAAAACGAATAAAAATAACATGGTTATCTAAAAACATTTTCGTCTTAGTGCATTGCTTGAAAAAAAAAAAGGATCTACATAAGGTTTACCTCGGTGCATCGGATGACTGTTGTCCAGCATGAAATCTGGTTCTTTACTGAGAGCAGTCATTTGAGACCGCCATGTTTCTTTTACCTCTCTTTTTGTTTGAAGCGTATATTTACGACTTCCAATAAAATATGGTTTCCACATGAACGATACGGCGTTTACAGATATTTACTAAGCTTTGCTTTGTATGGTATAAGGCCAGAAAATTTGGGGCGCTCTATAAGAATCGGACTCATTAGCCAGCAGCAATTGTACACAGTAGAAGCAACCGTGCAAGGCAACAAAACTCGTTGAATAGCGCATAAAACAAGAAAGATACACCACTAACAGATATTTAATAAATTTGTTTGGTATAAGGCCACAAATTCTGGGGCGCTCGGTAGAAATCGGACTCATTACTCAGGAGTATCGGTCCTTCTATATGGCAGTAAATGCTTGACAATATCTTGAAAGAGGAAGAAGAAACTTGAAACAGAATCGTGAGTCTACAGAAGGATGCTGAGAATACTATAGAGCGTGTATGTGAGCAACGACGAAGTTTTAGAGAAAATGGAAACAAAAAGGAAACTTATATTTAACATCAGGAAAAGACAGTTGAAATTTCTGGGGCACATAATGAGGAAAGAGGGCTTGGAAAATGTGATACAGGACAGATTGAAAGCAAGAGGGACAGAGGAAAGCAATGCATAACATACTTGAGCTTGAGTAAATGAATGGCGGAACAGAGTTTAGGAGGAATGACGAAAAGACAAAATTTATTTAAGAGCTACAAAGAAAAGGAAGTTGTGGAGAGCCATGATCACCAACGCCATGAAAGCACATAAAGAAGAAGAATCTCGTTCACGAAAGCAAAAAAATAGGGTTCCAATAAAAAACGATAAGACGCTTAAAAAATATTTTCTAAGCTTAGCTTAGAATGGTACAAGGGGATATACTAAGAGGCGCTTTGTAGGGATCTTACTAATTAGCTGTAATTATTTGATAAACTACTTCAGTAACGCAAAATGCATCAATATATATATATATATATACATTCTTTTTATAGAGACAAATATTTAAGTAAATGCTCTGTTTATAATAAACAATATTAAAGAACATTTACCGACCTGAATGTCCGAGAAATTTTCACAGAAAATATTCGTCAGGATTCGAACCTGTATCCTATACGCAAACGTCATTTAGGTTGACGTGCCTTAACCGATTTGGCCACAGAGGAGCGTTCGGTTAGCAAGGTCAAATTTAATTCAATCTTCTATGAATCTCTCACATACATTCATATCTGCTCAAAGCGCATCCAAATGTAAATAAATGACGTCACTTGCGAATGAAAGGTAGATGGGTTTATATGAACTGATGCAAAAATCATAGAAAATAGATGCGAAGAAGAATTCAAATGAGAGAGTTGAAAACTCGAAATGAAAAGAAAGAATGGAAGGAAAAAAATAATACGACTGAATAGTAAAATGAGAAGAAAGAAAGAAAGAAAGAAAGAAAGAAAGAAAGAAAGAAAGAAAGAAAGACTTTCAAAGGAGTGGAAATAAAAGCGTGTAAGAAAAGAAGAGAAAAGAAAAGAAAAGAAAAGAAAAGAAAAGAAAAGAAAAATGAAATCAAAGAAAAGAAAGAAAGAAAGAAAGAAAGAAAGAAAGAAAGAAAGAAAGAAAGAAAGAAAGACTTCCAAAGGAGTGGAAATAAAAGCGTGTAAGAAAAGAAAAGAAAAGAAAAGAAAAGAAAAGAAAAGAAAAGAAAGAATGAAATCATTCCAAAGAAAGAAAGAAAGAAAGAAAGAAAGAAAGAAAGAAAGAAAGAAAGAAAGAAAGACTTTCAAAGGAGTGGAAATAAAAGCGTGTAAGAAAAGAAAAGAAAAGAAAAGAAAAGAAAGAATGAAATCATTCCTAAGAAAGAAAGAAAGAAAGAAAGAAAGAAAGAAAGAAAGAAAGACTTCCAAAGGAGTGGAAATAAAAGCGTGTAAGAAAAGAAAAGAAAAGAAAAGAAAAGAAAAGAAAGAATGAAATCATTCCAAAGAAAGAAAGAAAGAAAGAAAGAAAGACTTTCAAAGGAGTGGAAATAAAAGCGTGTAAGAAAAGAAAAGAAAAGAAAAGAAAAGAAAAGAAAAGAAAGAATGAAATCATTCCTAAGAAAGAAAGAAAGAAAGAAAGAAAGAAAGAAAGAAAGAAAGAAAGAAAGAATTCCAAAGGAGTGGAAATAGAAGCGTGTAAAAAAAGAAGAGAAAAGAAAAGAGAAAAAAAGAAAGAATGAAAGCATTCCAAAGAAAGAAAGAAAGAAAGAAGAGAAACGTGTAAATGATTTCCATTTTAGATGAGAAGATAGAAAAATAAAAGGAGAAAAAAGAAGCAATGTAAAAAGGAGAAGAAAATGAAATAAAAAGAAAAGAAAGAGTGAGAACGAAAGAAAGAAATGAAGAAAGTGAAAAATGATAGAAATTTTACATGACAAGATAGAATAAAGAAAGAAAGTCGACCAGGAAAGAATGTAAAACGGAAAGAAAAAGAAAGAAAAAGAAAAAGAAAAATAGAAATGAATGAAACAACTCAATAAGTAACGAATGAGAAAAAGTGAAAAAGTGAAAACGTTTGAAATTTTACAGAAACGGAAAGAAAAAGAAAAGAAATAAGGAAAAAGAAAGTATGTAAAATGAAATAAGATTAAATAGAAATGTGGAAATGAACGAAAGAAAGAAAGAAAGAAAGAGAAAAAGAAAGAGAGATAGAAAGTAAGAATAACAGACGAACAATATTTATTTGCGTTAATGCTCGATTGGTCATTTTGTTTTTGACGGCTTAGCAGCCTTTTTGCAGATTATTTAAAGCCAGATAACATTAGTATTAGTAAATCAGTAGTATCCCCCCCCCCCAAAATAAGCATTTTTTGTGGGGTGGTGATAATACTGATTTACTGATAATAATTAACACATATCTAGGTAAAGGCATGAATTGATATCGTTCCCAATAGTATTTCCTCGTGTGTGAATATATCAAACCCGACTGGAATTGGAACTCGGCTCTCCAATTAACAATTCCGAGACTTTAACCACTAAATATCCCTCACATCCAAGCTTCCTGTACCTGGAATTACCAAGCGGTCACCCATCTAGGCAATAACCAGGTTTGACGTTACTTAACTTCGATGTCCGTACGAGAATCGGTGTTTCAACATTGTTTAGTCTTATACCACCCACACGTCCAAGCTTCTAGCACCTGGTAATCACTAGCGTTCACCCATCTTGGCAATAATCAGGTTTGACGTTGCTTAACTTGGCTGATCGTACGAGAATCTATGTTTTAACGTGATTTAAACGTAAGCCATACCACCCACACATATAAGGTTAAAACACCTGGTATCGCCAAGGGGTCACTCGTCTAGGTACTAGGCAAGGATGACATTGCTTAACTCTGGTGATCGTACGAGAATCTCTGTTTCAACGTGATTTGATCGTAATACATACCACCCACACATTCAAGCTTACAGCACCTGGTATTCCAAAGGGGTCACTCATCTAGGTACTAGCCAGTCTTGATATTGCTTAACTCCAGTGATCGTACGAGAATCTCTGTTTCAACGTGATTTAACCATAAGACATACCACCCACACATACATGGTTACAGCACCTGGTATTCCCAAGGGTCACTTATCTAGGTACTAGCTAGGCTTGACATTGCTTAACTTCAGTGTTCGTAAGAGAATCTCTGTGTGGGTGATATTGCTGTAACCCATATCACACGAACATCCAAGCTTACATTACCTGGTATTCCTAAACGGTTATCCATCTAGTTAATTACCAGGCTCAATGTCTGTGATTATACAAGAACCGCTGTTTCAACGTGATATGGTCGCAAGCTATGACAATTTAAATCAAAATGGCGAGCAAACGATTCAATAGCTCGATGATTAAAAGAAGAAAAACGTCGTTTCCTGCCGAAGCAATAAATAGACAAAAAGATGCGAAATTTATTAAAATTAAACAAAGAGTAAACAGTAAAGGGCTCGTCTGCATAAAACAAATTAAAAAAGAGAAGTGAAAGAAAGATTTAATTTAAAAAAATGGAAAGCGACACACAAAAAATAGGAAGAGAAACAAAAAAATCTAAAAATGGTTAGAGAAACAAAAAGATAACTGCTGACAAAAAGAGAACTCAACAGCAATTTAATCATCAGGAAGGAATGACGTCATTATTTTGCTTCTGACCACACCTGAGAAATAATATTTGTCACAGGACAAGCATTGCTGATAGATGATTCGCTTTTGAGAACTCTTCAGGCATGAAGTCAAGAATGTTTCTGTGGACGATGAGTTGCGTAAACAACATTACATGAATAGCGGCTGGTGTACGACCATTTCTTAAGCTATGTCCGGTCTAAATTATTTTCAAAGAGTGTTGTTAGAAGGAGAATCAGAACGTGTGGATATACAAGGAGAGAATAACAAAAGGAATAAACAAAACAAAAAAAAATCAATGGGACATTTCCATCAATTTTTTTCAGCTCTCAATAAGTTTTCGTTTCAGGCTATAGAAATATTTAAGTTTTTTTTTTTTTGTTTGTTTTTGTTTTTTTTTAGTCGTTTCAACCCAAGCAAGGCGGGAAGCCACTAGCACGCAAGGGGTTACAGAGATAGTTGGAGCGAGAGCAAAGAGGAGTGATAGAGGAAAAGATGAAGAGAAGGATAGGGGATAGATCAAGGCATCTGGAGATGTCGATTGACATTACATTTGAATATTTGGAGATTATAGCTTTCAAGGAAACAGGAAGAGGGGAGGGAGTTCCACAGGCGAGAAGTGCGAGACATGAAGCTATTGGAATAGAAGAGACGGCTATATTTAACAGTTTTGACAGTGAAAGGGTGTGAGCGAGATGCCAGCCTAGTAGAAATTCCGCTGACTGCGCCAAAGCACGTATTTTCCAAAAGATTTCATTTAGCAAAATAAACTGTCAATGAACAATTTTTATCCGTAGACTCAAATATAAATACAACCACTATTTCACTGCAGAATAACAATAAAAAAAAACACGACTATTTTTTACCTAGACATAAATAATGCTTAGGTATCTGTATATTTCTCTACATAAAGGTGTAATGTCCCAGTGGGTAGATAAACCAATACTATTTATATTATTATACTTTCAACGTACAGGATTCAAGTAAACAACAAAACTCCAAACTGTGAATCAACAAGTATATATTGAAATAACATACAAGAACAAACATGTAATAAAATTTAATTCAATGTATAGATTAAGGAAAAGAACTTGTTCCCCCTTAATTGTATTTTGATTTGTAATTGATTGCTCGAAGAAAGTTCTTTTTGAGAGAAAAATGTTCAGGAATCAATATTAGAACAAAGGTCTATTTGTTAGAATAGATAACACAAGAATACAATTGATCAGAAATGTGTTGTGTTATAGAATGGTTCGAAATTAACAGAGTCCTGGTTGATTGAGCTTGGCTAAGTCATAGAGAGAAGTGTGAGTTTATATTACAAAATTCTGTGTCTGTGTGTGCGTTTGAAATGTTATGAGTAAGATCGTGGACTCGTTTGGGCAGGTGAAACTTTCTGGATCCTATTGACGACTTGTGAAAAAGGCGACTTTTTTTAAGAAAAAAGAATAGGCTCCCACAGAAGCGCAGGAAAAGTTAATCTTGCACTAAAATATGTGATTGGTTAAAAATTAATCAATCACTACATTCGTACTAACAAAACAGGCAAGCAAGCTCAAAACCGAAGGATCTAAAGATGGCTGCGATGGTTAAATTGTCCTATAGAAAAGTAGTATTGATTTATTAGCCAATCGCAGACGAATAAAATGTGGCCGTGGAAAAACATAGCAATCGCTACAAAGGTAGCGCACCTTTTGGTAAAAATTCTGTCCTTTAGTAGGAATGATCTCTCCAGGGTACAGTCCTTGGCGATGGTGTAGGGAAGTTAAGTGCTGCCCAGACTACATGGCCAATACGTTACGAATTCGTGTATCATTTAGTGACTCACTCGAGTAGGAGACGCATGCGCAGTGTCTATATATTATGATTCTCACGTGAACTACGATAAAAAATATAAAAGAAAGAGATATTAATAATGGTCTGCAATAATTTTTAAGCAGGGGTTCCCTGGGATAAGAAAACTACTTCAGGGGTGGCACAAATGTAGAATGGTTGTGAAATTCTACTCTAAAAAGAGATACAAGACACAAAAACAGCGATAGATAGATAGATAGATAGATAGATAGATAGATAGATAGATAGATAGATAATGAACAGACTAAGAGATAGATATGAAGAAGTGGAAATAGATATAGAGAGAAAGGATAGAGAGAAAGAGAGAAAGGAAAAGTAGATAGATAGATAGATATAGATAGATAGATAGATAGATAGATAGATAGATATGAAGAAGTGGAAATATAGAGAGAGAAAGGAGAGAGAGAGAAAGGAAAAGATAGAGATAGATAGATAGATAGATAGATAGATAGATAGATATGAACAGACTAAGAGATAGATATGAAGAAGTGGAAATAGATAGAAAGAGATAGAAGAGAGAGAGAAAGGAAAAGTAGATAGATAGATAGATAGATAGATAGATAGATAGATAGATAGATAGATAGATAGATATGAACAGACTCAGAGATAGATATGAAGAAGTGGAAATATTGACAGAGAAAAGAGAGAGATAGATAGAAGAAAAAGACTCAGAGATAGATATGAAGAAGTGGAAATATTGAGAAAGGAGAGAGAGAAAGAAAAGTAGATAGATAGATAGATAGATAGATAGATAGATAGATAGATATGAACAGACTCAGAGATAGATATGAAGAAGTGGAAATATTGAGAGAGAAAGGAGAGAGAGAGAAAGGAAAAGTAGATAGATAGATAGATAGATAGATAGATAGATAGATAGATAGATATGAACAGACTCAGAGATAGATATGAAGAAGTGGAAATAGAGAAAGGAGAGAGAGAGAAAGGAAAGATAGATAGATAGATAGATAGATAGATATGAACAGACTCTGAGATAGATATGAAGAAGTGGAAATATAGAGAGAGAAAGAAAACCTCAAGAGGAAACGAAGGATACAGATTGTAGATGTTACAAAATAACCAAAGATATTGAAACTCTTCCGTCCAGAGAGATGCAGTGGAAAATACCTATTTGCATATGATAAGTAGAAGAGAAATAAAGTGTATTGAAAATAGATAGATAAAGACTCAGAGAGAGAGAAGAGAAAAAAAAGTTGACTACTGATAGAGAGAGAGAAAGGTAGTTTACAAAAAACAAAGATATTTCTCGTCCGAGAGATATCTGCCTCCGAGCGAACAGAGAGGAAGAAAAAAATTAGGCTATGCCGAAGGGCAGATCCGTCCAGAGAGAGAGCGGAAAAAACCTATTTTGAAGAGTCTGGCCTTGAGAGGTAGACAAACACGACCCCGTGCATACAGGGTCTACGGTGAATTTCTGCCTGAGACTACGGTTATGGAATGCTCCTCGTTAAAAAAAAAAATCCTTGTGCTATATCCCGCTTTGTGGGGCGGCATCGGGTAAATATCGAAGTTGACTACTGATCGGAAGCTGAACAGAACTTCTTGTCGACCTATCTGCTTCCGAGAGGATAGGAAACCAGATGAGGTTATGCCGAAGGGCAGAGTCTGGCCTGGGGAGATAGACAAAGCCGACTGCGTCTATACAGGGTCTACGGGGAAATTTTGCCTGGACCCACGAGCTTGGAATTTCCGAACTTAGCCTCCGAGAGGATAGGAAACCAGATGAGGTTATGCCGAAGGGCAGAGTCTGGCCTGGGGAGGTAGACAAAGCCGACTGCGTCTATACAGGGTCTACGGGGAAATTTTGCCTGGACCCACGAGCTTGGAATTTCCGAACTTAAAACACCGGTCTTGTGCCATATCCTGCTTTGTGGGGCGGATTCGGGTATATATCGAAGTTGACTACTAATCGGAAGTTGAACAGAACTTCTTGTCGACCTATCTGCCTCCGAGAGGAGAGGAAACCAGATGAGGTTATGCCGAAGGGCAGAGTCTGATCTGGGGAGGTAGATAAAGCCGACTGCGTCTATACAGGGTCTACGGGGAATTTTTGCCTGAACCTACGGACTTGGAATGCCCCTCGTTAAAAAAAACGGCCTTGTACCACATCCCGCCTTGTTGAAAGGCTTCGGGTTAATACCGATCACATATCGTAGAACAATGCAATACAACATCAAAGTTAACTGGACAGCAAGAAACCGTAATGATTTTTGTCAGCGCGAAAAACCAGAGTCGATTCTGCGAGCATAGAACTTACTTATATCTAACAATATCAGTTAACATATTTTCATGATCCAAGCTCCATTTTAAATATGAAACATCCACACATATGTTTACGGAAATTGGATTTTAACGATATGCAATCTCAGTTTTTATTTTGATATAAGTAAATAAATGAAAATAAAAGCTGTATTGGAATTCGTGAATATCCAGCTTCAATAACGACATGGTTAAACTCAAAATGAAACATTTTGCAACTTACGGGGATCATGTGCTCGTTCACGAATGAGTTCATCGGCGAAACATGTTAAAATGAAGATTTCGCAAATATCCTTCTATATATATTTAACATTTCACCACGAGCAAGGCAATAAAGCCACTATGATTCAAGAAAAGGTGAAAGAAACAAAGAGGTAATAAAAGACCTGGACCCAAGGATAAAGGAAGGCTATAAAACGGAAGAGATTTCCACAAACAGGAGGATTTAGTATATACTATATTGTTACAATTAGGCATGTCAACAATGAAAACATGAAACCTAACTGCCAATTGAGTACTGCTCTTATATTCATATCGTCAAGTTTTCAAACGAGGAAATCTCATCAGAACATCCATGACTAGGTTGCAAATATAAAGCATGGTAGAAGGAGTTCGATACATTCTGGAGTGATAGAATGAGTCAAAACAGCTCCAGGTTAGATATATCAGCAATACTCCATTTTGGGTCTAATCTGACTCTTGTAAAGATAAAGCATGGCAAAAAGAGTCAGGTACTTTCTGGAGTGATAGAATGAGCCAAAACAGCTCCAGACCAGATAGAGCAGCAATACACCATTTTGGGTCTAATCTGACTCGTGTAAAGATAAAGCATGACAGAACGAGTCAGGTACTTTCTGGAGAGATAGAATGAGCCAAAACAGCTCCAGCCCAGATATAGCAGCAATACTCCATTTTGGGTTTAATCTGACTCTTGTAAAGATAACGTTGGGCAGAAGGAGTCGGTTACTTTCTGGAGCGATAGAATTACTCAAAACACCCCCAGCACTAGATTTTCACTCGAAAAACTCTTTATTTCACATTTTCAGCTCCGCATCGTTATTGAACGAATCACCCCACTAATTGTTAAAAAATGGCTGAAGAATTTCGTAGTGTGAAATGCTAAATCAGAAGAATATTATGAGTGTTGCAGAACTTCCTAACCGAGCTCTTTAATTGCATGTTTGGCCATGTTAGCGACGTGGTGGCGAGCACTGTCATGATGAATAATCATACCGTATTGCTGGTCAGGACTTTTTTGAAGAATTGCATCTTTAAACCTCTGTTCGTTTGTTCAAATTACAACTTTGCATTGACCATTTGTTTGTTCTGAAGCATTTCATATCATTCTTTCGATAATGAATTCATCTCCGTAAACAGCAGAAATCTCTCCAATAACTTTGGAAGCTTTGTGGACTTTATTAATAGTAAAGTGTAGAAGATGTTAAACAGGCGAATGTTTTCTGCTTAGTATTTCAATCCCAAAGGGGTGTCTAATCTAAAATAAAATTATAAAAACGTTAGAAAACTGTTTCAAAAGGATAAGCAGAAAAATTTTACGAAACACTATTCTTTGAGAACTTTCATAGAATATCAGAAAACAAAAAACGAACGCAAATACTGGGTGATTGAAACGTAACTCCTTATTTTATGTATGAGTGGCCAGCCAGGTGTACTGATTTGACAGCCTGTTACCTTTTTCTTTGGGGTTTATTAAAATGGCAATTCTACTATATCAAAGCAAGATTTTGAAAGAACTTGGAGGGCGAATACAAGAAGTTATGTCTTCCATACTATAAGAGTTCCTGGTGAAATCATTTGACATGATTCCTTCTCGGCTGAGGAAGCCGGTAGCGACATCTGGGGAATTTTTTAAAATTAAAATGGCTTTCCTCTCATATTTATTTCTTCTAAAATTTATATTAATAAATGAAATATTTTAAAAGCAAGTTATTTTTCAATCACCCTATATATAGAGAGAGAGATAGAGATACAAATTCCTATCCATACAACGGAATATGTTATGTCTTCCATGGATATATAAATATATATATATATATATATACAATTACTATTGATGACGCGTTTTCCATTGTATAGCAATTACTAGTTTTCATATATATATATATATATATATATATATATATATATATATATATATATATATATATATATATATATATATATATATATATGGAGAAATATAGTCTTAAGATGTGCTATATTTATGGGATAAAAGTGCTTAATATCAGAGATAGACTATATATATATATATATATATATATATATATATATATATATATATATATATATATATATATATATATTTGGTTGGATAGATGTGTGTTTGTCTATCTATCCAACCAAATAGGTTAGCTAACAAACTCACATCTATCCAACCAAATATGTTAGCTCTATCTCTGATATTGAGCGCTTTCTAATAAGTACCGCGCATATAATATATAAGTAATTATATATATATATATATTTATTTATATTTATATACACACATTTTTCACACACACACACATATATATATATATAGGTAACATAACACCCATTTTTATGTATGAGTGGCCAGCCAGGAGTACTGACTTAACACCCTGTGACTTTTTTCATTGGGGTTTGTTAAAGTAACAAGTCTACTATACTAAACGAAGACTTTGAAAGAATTTGAAGGGTGAATACAAGAAGCTATGTCTTCCATACCATAAGAGTTATTGGTAACATCAGTTGACGCGATGCTTGGTCAGCTCACTGGTAGCTAAATATGGAATTTTAAAATAAAACCTCCTGCTAAATGCTTTCCCCTCCTATCCATTTCATGTAAAAATGATAGTTCATAAATCTTATATATAAAGTACAGTGTATGTGAGTGTAATTGTGCGTGTGTGCGTTTCCAAGCAACTCCTCCGCTCTCACTGATCCGATTTCAATGATTCATAGCTCATTTAAAAGCCCTAGAGCTCAGATTCAACATTGCCATATTAAGCGATGTTAAAAATATATATATATTAATATATTATACTATCCATTATCGTTTCCTTCATGGTTCAAGGGGAATAACTCTCTATTTTCCTTTCGTATCAAAAATTGCAGTGCACGTTTTATTATAAACTAGCTTAGAAACATTTAAGCTAGCTCCTGTGGAGGATTCTTGGTTTGGCCATCATCCCAATAGCTTGGGAGGAGTAGATGTGATAGGCATCAATAAACTACAGAAGAACTCAAAATTGATCGCTGCATTTAAGTATGGAATTAATGTTTAAGCTTACCTTTTAAGAGTTCAACAATAATTCTTCTGATTCTACTTAATTTAAAGATGATTTGATGTATGTAGATACTTATTTTCTGTACAAACAATTATTTTTATTTTGTGGGTGACAGAACAGGGGACAATTTATAAGATAAAATTAATATAGTGTAAAGATAGGAAAATAGAAATTAGAACTAGTTAGACATTCAACATTTGAAGAGCTAGAGAAACATAATAGCTAATTAAGTAAAACCTATATTATGGAATCTATACAAATTGTTATGGGACCTACCTTTATGGACTAAATGGACTCGTCCTATTACTAGATTATGCCTCTCAAGAGGAGGGCTGTCTGCAGTTGATGAGTTGACTCCGGTTGACTACGTGTACGACTTTTGCCGTGCTCTCTGCTTTGGCAGAGAGGAACCCGGACAAAGCTTTGCCGAAAAGTAAAGTTTCGTCCGGGGAGGTAGACAGGCCTTGAACCCGTCTAGGCGGGTTCAAAGGGTATATTTTTTGGCCTAGCCTACGGGCTCAGAGAAAACCACATTAAACCCGGTCTTGTGCCACATACATTCCTCGTGGGAGGATCGTTAAATATTGCTGCTGAATTGACTACTGTACTTTGCCGTCAGTCGGACGGGCAACTCTTTTGTATTCGTTCTTTTTGTTAATAATATGTTTTCACTCTAGTTTTCTTTCGGACCTATTCTGGGTCCACAACATTAATAAATGCGAAATTGATGCACTATTATCCAACGAATTCTGGGGCTAAAAAAGCACCAACCCTACTTTATAGTAATTTATACGGTGTTTACTCGTTCCCTCACGAGGACGAGATGTGACACAAGGTCTTTTTAAAGTAGAGACACGAGCGCGCATACACCCGGGCAAGGGACAAAAATTGCCCACATTCCCCGGACCGTCAGTTGTGCTGGCCTCGGTGCGAACACCGATCCCTCCCTCTGGTGCAATGGGAGGGCGCGGCTTCGGGCAGCTTTTCCCCAGGGCACCTCTCAGTATAATTTTCTCAATTGCCTCTCTGTTCTTTGACAGAGAAGCCCATGAGCGCACTCTGCCCAAAGACAGAGACGCAACTGAGAGATGATAAATAATGCGTTACAAATTACTTTATAGTAATTTATACGCTAAAAGCCCAATATCTGTGTTATATATGGGCAATATATAGGCAATATCACTCTTCAGGTTTAACTAATTTCCTTAAGTGTTTGAAAGTTGCATTTTAATTGGCTTTCAAAAAGTTGGCATCTATTTGTAAAATATTCCTTAACTACAACAAGCCAAATTATGAATGTAATTTTCATTTAAAATTTTTGTTTCAAATATTTCAAGTAGTGAATATATATTACTTTGCGAAGTTACTTTTGAATTATCCTGCATATAACAACCTAAAATTTTCCGGAGAGGCTCAAGGAGGCGAACTTTATTCTCACGAGGAGTCAAGGCAGGGGGTGTCATTGAATGTGCAACTATTCATCATGACTAGACAAGTTAAAGGTCTAATCAGTAAAGATGGAGCGTTGAGAGACTTATTTCTGTTGAATGATACAAGCTAGTTTCTTTGTCTCTTTGGCTGTTAGAGCTAGTTCAAATGAAAGATCAGCTGTCAGGCTCTGATCATCTCCATTTGAGGACCAGCACTCATAATCCGTGGTATCCTTTTTGGCATAATGGAACGTTGTTTTTGGTTTTGATTTTTGTTAGATTTTTAAAAGTACCCGCTTATTCTAACCATCATTTTTATTCAAGACCTGTCAGTTACAATTGGTATGAATAGGAATTGGTATAAAGAAGAGTTGGTAGAAAAAAGATTTGGTATAGAGAACAGTTGGTATAAAGAAGATTTGGTATAAAAGAAAAGTGGTTATATAAAAGATTTGACATAAAGAAGAGATGGTATAAAGAACAGTTGGTATGAAGAAGATTTGGTATAAAAGAAAAGTTGGTATAAAATGATTTGATATAAAAGAAAAAATGGTAAAAAAAGTTTTGGTATAAAGAACAGTTAGTACAAAGAACAGTTGGTATAAAAAGATTTGGTATAAAAAACAGTCTGTATAAAAGAAAGGTTGGTATAAAAAAAATTTGGTATGAAGAAGAGTTGGTATAAGAACAGTTGGTATAATATAAGATTTGATACAAAGAAAAGTTGATATAAAAAATTGGTATAAACAAGATTTGGCAGAAATAAATGTTGGTATATAGAAAATTTGGTATAAATAAGAGATGGTATAAATAAGAGTTGGTATAAAAATTTGGTATAAAGAAAAGTTGGTATAAAGAAATGTTGGTATAAAGAAATGTTGGTATAAAGAAATGTTGATATAAAGAAGAGTTGGTATAAAGAATAGATGGTATAAGAGTTGATATAATATAATATTTGATATAAAGAAAAGTTGATATAAAAATTGGTATAAAGAAGATTTGGTAGAAATAAAAGTTGGTATAAAGAAAAGTTGGTATAAAAAAAGTTGGTATAAAGAAAAGTTGGTATAAAAAAAGTTGGTATAAAGAAAGGTTGGTATAAAGAAAAGTTGGTATAAAAAGATTTGGTATAAATAAGAGTTGGTATAAAGAAGATTTGATATAAAGAAGAGTTAGTAGAAAAATGATTTGGTATAAAGAGATTTGACATAAAGAAAAGTTGGTATAAAGAAAAATTTGTATAAAAAGATTTGGTATAAAGGACAGTTCGTATAAAGAAGAGTTGGCATAAAAAGATTTGGTATAAAGCTGAGTTGGTATAAAGAAGTGTACGTCTCAAAAAAGCTGGTATAAATAACATTTGCTATAAAGTACCGTTGGTATAAAAAAGATTTGGTATAAAGCAGAGGTTGTATGAAGAAGCTAATAAGGTTGAGATAAATAGAAAAACAAATGTGCAAATATTTCTGTAAGTTCAACGAACGAAAGAACAATAAATGGAAGAGATGCTATGTTTATTTACTGAGATAAATTGAGTTGCAGAAGCTTAACCCAAATTGGAGGTTAAAAATGTGAGCGGGCCTAAGGTTTGTATGATAAGTAAATGAAGAGAGAGAGAGAGAGAGAGAGAGATGGACAGAGATAGCATGCAAGAAAACGAAGCAGGTGTTTTTCTAACGGAATTCTACAGTAAATCGGGCACGTGGTTGAAATAAACATATTCACTCACAGAACCCACGACGGGCAGGACAAATTTGCGATCATTAATCTGGTCGATATAATGATAGTAACACATAAAGCCATCTGTTGGTATGCTGTTGGTATGCGGGAGATTTTTGAACACGTTCCATTGGCACATAAAACATTAAATACCTAGGCATGTAAGCACACATACACATGCACACACCTATACATACAAGGTTGGCCAAAAGAAGGCTTCAATTGCTTCACGTTTTAGATCTAACTTCAGCGAATTGTTCTTTCAGCAAGATGGAGTAGCTCCCCATAATGTTTTGGCAGTTAGGGACAACCTTAACCAAACCTTACCACAGCGTTGGTTAGGAAGAAAGGGCGGCATCGAATGGCCACCACGTTCACCTGAGCTAACACCAATGGATTTCGTTTTCTGGGGGTGTAGACAAAGACAAGGTTTATGAGAGAAATCCCCACACAGTGGACGAATTAAAAGATCAGAATTATTTATTGGTATTAATGCAAATCGGGATTTGTGTCGTCCTTGGAATGTTGAAAAATATAAAGTAAAGTGTTAAACAGATGAACATGAACAAATATCATTGTAATAAATAAATATAAATATAAAAAAAAATAAAAACATGCCGACTATATATATATATATATATATATATATATATATATATATATATATATATATATAGTGGCCTGACGATTGAGTCTAGCATGAAACAGCCTGTCGCCTCTAAAGTGTTCTCTTCAATGTTCACTTTTATATTGACACACGCTCTGTCTCTGATATTGATTGTGAACAAATTATCTGGCAACATGTAAAAAGTTACTGATTTTTAAATCACTATGTTTATCAGCTAAAGCAACAATGACTGCATGTCTTTTCATTTCTTGGGTTAACATCTTCCTCTGACTGGATTATCTGAAATAAAAAAAAATAATATTATAAATGATTTGAGTGTGTAGTGAACTTAAAACAATATGTCCTCAAATAGCACTCGCACCCTGTATATATATATATATATATATATATATATATATATATATATATATATATATATATATAATACAGTTTTCCTATTTTCTACAGGTTAACTCTGAGAAATTTTCATATATATATATATATATATATATATATATATATATATATATATATATATATATATATATATATATATATATATATGATATATATATATATATATATATATGAAAAATTTCTCAGAGTTAACCTGTAGAAAATAGGAAAACTGTATTATTAGACGACGCGTTTCGTCCAATATGGACTTTTTCAAGGGAAAAACGAACTGAATTTCTTGAAAACAAAGTAACTATTAACAATAAAACAAAATGTCCTTAGCAACTAGAAGAATTTAGAAAACGCTATTGTTTTCATATTGTCAACTGCAAATTACGTCAAGTACTTTCACGTGTAAAAATATTGTTTTTTATTGTTGTGTTGACGGATTCAACCATTTTATTTTGATTTCTTGATATAATAGTTTTGTACGCTAATAATACAGTTTTCCTATTATTATTACACGTTCATGAAAAATGATAGGCTTAGGTTCATATGACGTTGAGACACCGATTCTTGCAAGATCACCGAGTTCCAATTTCAATCCGGTTCGTTCTATTCACTTACACACAAATACCAAAATAGGAAAGGTAGGGATCCACATTTTCTACCCCAACAACTCGGAGTTAACTAGAAGGATCTATAACAGTAAATCCTCATCATCTCCGAAAAATTATTACGATTTTTTAAAAATATTTTCCGGCTGTAAATACCTTTCAATGCTGTAAAATACAGATCAATCAACCTATTTTTTATACCTTCAAATAATTTCTCATTGTCATAGCAAAGACATTACCTCATGGCCATTGCTGAGAAGAGATCTCAACAAGAAAACGATTATGAGTCAAAGTGGACATTTTTATAAAAGACGTGTATAGTGAAGCATTCGACATAACCACCTGACTATTACAATATACAATTTTAACATTATTTACATGATTCGGGCTATTGTCATATTTATTACAATGTTTCGGCCGTTGTACGCTCCGGCCTTCTTCAGGTGGTTGGAATGTCGAACTGAACCCTTTATTTCGCTCACTGGGGCAGACTGTTCTAGTTCCACGTGCCATGTTTAATGGATGTCATTTATCAGTTATCTCCTGTTAATTTCCCTCTGAAAGTTCTCCACTGCCTTAACCGGGTATTGAACTCACACTCTTTCGGTCCTGTCACTGGATCTAACCAACGCCTTTATCAACTGTGCCATGTGTCCTTGAAGCAGGCCGGAGCGTACAACGGCCGAAACGTTGTAATACATATGGGGACAAATATGAGAACAATAGTCCGAATAATGCAAATAGTGTACATAATATATCATCTCAGAAATATAGACAGATACTGAAAAGCCGAAACGTTGTAATAAATATGGCGACAAAGATGAGGACAATAGTCCAAATAATGTAAATAGAAATATAGACAAATGAAAAAACGTTGTAATCATCTCAGACGACAAAATATAGACAAATACTGAAAGGCCGAAACGTTGTAATAAATATGACGACAAAGATGAGGACAATAGTCCGAAAAATATAGACAGATACTGAAAGGCCGAAACGTTGTAATAAATATGGCGACAAATATGAGGTACATAATACCTCATCTCAGAAATATAGTCCGAATAATGTAAATAATGTAAAATAATGTACATAATACCTCATCTCAGAAATATAGACAGATACTGAAAGGCCGAAACGTTGTAATAAATATGGCGACAAATATGAGGATAATAGTCTGAATAATGTAAATAGTGTACATAATACCTCATCTCAGAAATATAGACAGATACTGAAAGGCCGAAACGTTGTAACACATATGGCGACAAAGATGAGCCCAATAGTCCGAATAATGTAAATAATGTACATAATGCCTCATCTCAGAAATATAGACAGATACTGAAAAGCCGAAACGTTGTAATAAATATGGCGACAAATATGAGGATAATAGCCTGAATAATGTAAATAGTGTACATAATACCTCATCTCAGAAATATAGATAGATACTGAAAGGCCGAAACGTTGTAACACATATGGCGACAAAGATGAAGCCAATAGTCCGAATAATGTAAATAATGTACATAATGCCTCATCTCAGAAATATAGACAGATACTGAATGGCCGAAACCTTGTAATAAATATGGCGACAAATATGAGGATAATAGCCTGAATAATGTAAATAGTGTACATAATACCTCATCTCAGAAATATAGACAAATACTGAAAGGCCGAAACGTTGTAACACATATGGCGACAAAGATGAGGCCTATAGTCCGAATAATGTAAATAATGTACATAATGCCTCATCTCAGAAATATAGACAGATACTGTATAATTTTAGATCTGTTTCTTTTTGCAATATGAGCGCTAATAAAACACTTTGAGCTTCCTGTGTTGACTAGAGCACTCATTTCTACCCCTTTATTTTTAGCGTTAATATAGACTTTGAAAGTCTTTTAGGGTTTGAGGTTGATATGATAATAGTCGCAATAAGAATATTCGAACTAGATGGAAAAAAGCTTGATTGACAAATCTTCGAGGAAAGTCCCTTCTTCCTGCATTTGTGGATTTAGTTTCACTGGCTGCGCAACACAACCTGGGTGGGGGTAGTTTGAGACCACAAAAATAATATTTTCGTCTAGCAGCATCACTAGCAGTGTCTTCCGGAGAGAGATTTTGAACTGGCCCATCAGAAACAAGGAAGTCTGTCGTGGAGGACTGTCTTTCTTCGCTGTTTGGGTCAGTTGAACTCTAGGAGAGTGAGTACTTAGTGCAACCTCTGCAACACTTTTTGTAGGTAAAAACAAGATTACTTTCCTGCCATTCCCAAGGTAAGTGTCTGATTGCGAAATCTACTTGTATATTTTACAGCAATCTTTGACGAATATAGTTCGATTGTAATCTATTTATAAAATGAGTCTCTGATAAATTTGTCTTTTGTTTGATCTGCTGTCGTCGCTTGAAGGTCGCAGGATCGACTTAAAATTTTTAAGCGCTGAAGATACTGTTTTAACCCCTCTTCAGAGGATTTGCGGGTAGTTGCTAATACATGCCGGGCAAAGATTATGTTTCGTCTCTTTATAAAAATTCTATCCAAAACGTCCATGGCAAGTTTTTTTTTAGAAATATTGGTATATACGGATATAGAAACGTGGTACATTAACAGGTTAAGTGTATCTGTATCAGTAATAGGAATGGATGAACTGTTTTCCAATATTGCCAGGAACCAGTAGAAGACGAGTCTTCAGTGTCCAAGGTTTAAAGTATTTGTCCATAATTACGTTCAATAAATTGTAATGGTAATTCGGAGTCTAGTTCGGGTTAAAGTCCAATTATTAAAAATAACTGAAGAGTCTTACCGGTGAGCCTTATTTATGCAAAACATAAGACAGGGGAGGTAATCAGGTTTTCTTACTACATTCGTAAATATTTTTTATTTTTTATTTCTTTGTTTATCAATACTGTTAATTCTCTTGTTGCATCCAAGAAAGAATTCTGTTTTTAAGTCATTAAAATGAAAATATCTAAAGAAAGTTAACATGATCTGTACTGGCAAAAAATGACGGCCATATTGAAATAATGTTGCTGTTGCATTAGTTATATAATCTCTACGGGGGATCTGGGATTTTTTTTTATCTATTATAAGTAAAACAACGCACAAAGAAAGGCGTACAAAATCCACAAAACTAGAAAATGATATTATAAATGACTACATTGGCCTCGTCGTATTATCTACAAAAGTCATAATTGATGAACTTGAAAGACATCGTGAGAAAGACTTTGAAAGGATTTAATCAAAGAGTTAAAGGAAATCTTCGGGAAAGAAAGAAAAGAAAGAAAGAAAGAAAGAGAGAGAGAGATAGAATGGTCAAC